TATATATATATAACGTGACAAAGTCAGAAGATGGAGCACCGAATTATAGGAATAAATACATAGGATATACAGGGGGCCAAAAAAAGAGTCACTCTCACTCACATTCAAAACAGAATTAATTACACTTTGCCAAACCAAACCGAATGAGCTCAATTGCATATTGAAGAGCACATTCTATTCTATCAAAAATTACATAGGGCCTTTCTACACCGACGACATCAGAAGATTTTCCCACGGAAACATGGTTCACGGTACGAGCTCAACGAGGTCGTCGAGAAACCATAGACGATTACGACTCAAACGCTGGTCAAAAGCCATTTGCATAGTCAGAGCTAGTGTCCCTAAGAAGCCATTCACCAGTTATCCGATTGAAGAAATTATGTAGCAGCTTCAGAATGGAGCGATTATGGTAGGCCTCCTTGAGCTCGACGGTGATGACAGATGACGTCATATTCTGGAGACGGTGAAAGCAGCGAAGGTGGGCCTGATTCTGCTTATGGGGGGGGACATCTAAGGAATAATTTCGCCGTATAACTCCCAATAACAGCGGCATCCTTTGCGACGAAAAGTTTGATGATATGCGCCATGGGCAAAGTGACTCTTTTTTTGCCCTCCCCCTGTACATTATAAATTTCCTGGTGTTTGAAATTAGAAATTGGCCGCGGCAACCTCCTGCTACCGTAACATTTGCCCACCCTGTACAAGAGCGTACCACATCCCACAGCTTGGCGGGATCATGAAGTCCACTTATTTCTTGTCCGCTTTCAGTTTCGTGCAAGCATATGGTGGCATTGCGTCCGTCGGAAGGGCGATTAGTGTAGAAACGCAAAATATGGTTGAGAGTCGCAAAATGCAAACATAATTTTGAAGGGTGGACGGGTAATGAAAAGATGTTACAACCGTTAATAAGCCGCCATAACTTGATATAAATCGCACTGCCACCATTTTTTCAGGATGTGTGAGAAGCAAATGTTGGTAAGGCTTGAAGAAGAGGCAGATGGGTTACGACGGTGAGCTGCTTTCAAGATTATCTTCACTATTTTTGTGATGTCAAGTGATCTCAAAGTAACTTCTCCTCACAGCTGAAAATACATCCACTATGGGGTAGTGGCGACGACTACATGCACATACAGTAGCACTCAAAATTCTTCGGTGGAATTCTTTTTCGATTGCAACATTTTTGTTCTACTAAATGAAATCGGTTCAAATTCAAATTTTTGCATGTTCCAGAACCAGGCCTTATTAACTCGACCAACATTTTCATGTTGAGTGGAAGAAAGAAAGAAGAATGAAAAGTTATTTGGCTGCAA